TGGACCTTAACATTTCCAGATTCTTTGATGGCATCGATGATATTGATCTGATCAAGAATTTGGGGTCGACCAACAGCCGAAATCACAACATCAACGTGTTTGATCGCATTCACTAAGCTCTCTTTTTCATATAAATCTCCCTGTTGTCATTATTTAACAGAGCAATAAGATCAAGGGTATAAACGTCAAGTCACTATCAGTGATTCATTCAAGGAACACGTAATAATTGTATAGAGGTTTCGAGTATGCAACAGGTGGGCAGAATGCTAACAAGTAAATACTGCCCTCTCCGTTGCACAAAGATCTCGATGAATCCATAAAGATGAATTTCAAAAATAATTAATCTTCTATTACAAATATAATAAAAGATTTTCAACAAAAATTTAAATAAATTTTCTGAAATTTACAAAATATTTTAGCATGTTATGGATAAAAATATATTGAAAACACTAAAAAAATTATCTTTATATTGAAACGGGGAGTATTTATTTGAGTATTTCTCATCTTCCACCATCAATCATTTCAAATAATGAAGACTATAACGATTTTTCATAAATTAATAAAAAGTTCATTGAATCGTGCTTTCGAAGATGAACAACACAAGTCGGATCTTAAACACCTTCCAAATTATAGAATCAACCTTGAAAAATAAGTTAAGACACATGAAGAAGAAGAGTTTGTGAGTGACGTACGTAGAGTATGGTAACTCCAAGATGTTTGAAGCTCTCGACGAGTTTGGCCTTAACGGGATCGGAGAGAGAGGCTTCTCTAACCATTGCGAAAGTGGCATGGTCAGACTTTGCGCTTCCCTCCACGATGACTTTTCCGGCTAAACCTGTCGCTCCGATCACCAGAATCTTGCTCCTCATCTCTCTACTACTGTTTTTCCACAAACTGATCCGTGTCATGTGAATTAGAAAGGAGTGTGAACCGAACCGAATTTATCGCCTTCATTTCTTCATTCGGTGGAACCGACAGTAGAAGTTACCGAAATACCCTTGTGTTTAGCTACCTTACTTTGACTATAAAGACAAATGGTATGTAGAAA